GAGGTCACACTCCTGCAGCAGTAGTCTTGTGATAAGCAGATAAAGAGAGAGAGAGAGAGAGGGACAGTGGGGTGAGGAGCTGCTGAGGGAAGCAATACACCGCACCCAGTTCTACATTAAAATAAGATTTCACCCATTTTAAATAGTAAAAAATATATATAAAAGTCATGTTCACGTGTGGGAGGGGCAGCTGTGAGTACTTTATACATTGACTGAAAACTGATGATTCAATAGTACTCGAGTACTATCACTATCACTACTTGCGACAGCTTTATTTTGAATGCTCATTGGACTGCTACTATTCTTGAAGTACAGTGGGTGTAAAAGGAAATTTGATAAACTAGACTACTATAGACTATTTTAAATTGACCTCTTCCAAATTAGACTTCATGAACTGTTCACTCTGTGCCATGTAATTGTAGTTTTACTGTTCATATGCTTGACCCAAATGACTTCAGCAACAAAAAGTTGATCTAGCTGAGTAAGGTGAGAGGAACTGTGTGTTAGAAACAAGAAGTGATCAGTTTTCTGGAAGCATGTTTCTGTATATTGTGGTAAAAGGCTTGTGGCAGCAAGCTGTCCATCATCTGTTAATCGTTTTTAAGTAACATTTGTTGGTCTGGTTTGTCTTCTTAAATCTTCTTTGTAATGTTAACCATGCTGTCTGTGCTGCTGTGTGCTGCGAAGAACACGCTTCCGTCCGTAAACACACACACAATTTCCACAAAGCTCAGATCATGACCTCACAGTACGACAGAACAGGGAGGTTAAAGAATGATGTAATTTGATAATAGAAATGAAAGGATTAGGAGATGACTGTTGCTTTATGTTGTTGTCTTCTCTTTGCAGGTCATTGAGAAGCAGCACCGAATGATGGAACAGCTTGGCTCTCAGATCCAGGTGACTGTCTCTTCACAATGAGTCTAAATTATTGGTGTGGTTACTGTTCAGTTTATAGTCCTTTAACATTTGTGAGTTACTGTTTGTGTCTGCAGGCTTTGGAGGAGCAGATATCTCAGGAGGAGAGCAGCTCTCAGGCTCTCAGAGAAGATGTGTTGGCCAAAGAACAGAATGTGTTGGAGCTCCATGCAACCATGAAGGAGGTGAGATAGACTAATAACAAAGTGTGGTGTTGTTTACAGAGAACCTGTGAGTCTTTAAAAAAAAACCTGTTCACAAACTGCACCACACTTTCACTGGATAATATTGATTCTGACTGCTGTGTTTCAGCTGTCGGCCCAGAACCAGGAGCTGATGGAGCAGAATCTGACCCTGCAGGAGCAAATGAGTGATCCAGAGCAGAGGGGCACTAACCAGGCCTCCTCTGCCCTGCAGCCAGCTGGGGCTCGTCTCACTCAAAGGCTTCATGTAGAGATCGCGTCCTGTCTCAGTGACCTGCGCTCCCTGTGCAGCATTCTCACCCAGAGAGCTCATGGACAAGACCCCAACCTCTCGCTGCTGCTTGGTCTCACATGTAAGCACTACTTAAATTTTACTCTGTCAGTGCAATAGATATTTTCAGGGAAGAGTCAGTGTTGTGAAATGCTGCTACATGTAGCTACATGCTAACATCAGGAAAACGTGATCTTGGTTGGGGATGCTTTTAATTTCTGCCCAATTTCAGATCATATTCCTGCTGAAACATGTTAGATTGTTAAGATTTTGGTTAAGGAGCTTTTAGTGGTGATTTTTCATGGTAAAAAGAGCACCATACTCCATTACAATCATTCCCCAGCTGCAGTGACAGTGCACAGACACCAAGGATGCAGATGTGGAAGACTTGGGGAGTGGGCTTAAAACGACTAAAATAGTGTTTCACCACGGACAGTGTGAGGAAAATAATATATTATTTGGAACAATAAAGCTTGTAAGTTAAACATGATCAAGTAGAAACCCAAAGTACAAGTATGAACCTGTAAATAAAATCCCCTTTGAAGTCTGGAGGAATGTACAGCATGAATCAGAGTCATGTTTTGTTTTCCCAGCGCCCCCACCAGTGGCAGAGCAGGACGAAGACTGGATGAGTCCCGAGGTGCTGCAGAAGAAGCTGGTTGAAGCTCAACAGCTGCGTCGTGATGTCGAGGAACTACGCAACGTAATACTGGACCGGTATGCGCAGGACATGGGAGAAAACTGCATCACCCAATAACGTCGCCACCCAAGTGGCGATGGAGGAAACTTGCCCCACTTCACCTCTGAAGCATCTAAAACGGGCTTGTCTTTCATGACTAGTTACTGAATGTCAGAAAGAGGACTGGATTTCAATTTTCTTAAAATGAGGACAGAGGAAAGCCCAAATGGTTTAGCTTCTTCTTCTTCTCTGGACTGACTGTACGTCGATTCTCAAGCCTGCCTGTAGCTCAGAACCCTCCCATCCCCCCGGTGAGTTCATCTATTTCAGTCCAAGGGCTAACGGAAAATAACTTACCTCTAATACTTGATCCTTAAGCATTGTGAGTGTGTTTTTTTTATTAATGATGACATGAATACTGTCAGTTACCAAACAGTCTTATCCTTTTTGTTCCACTCTAGTGGATAACTATTTGTGTAGAAGTCCCACATATATAATTTATTTAAACTTTAATTTCCCTCTCGAGGGGAATTATCCAAGAAGTGGTTGACAATCAACTGAAAATATCATAACCTGTGCTTTTAACTGAATTCACAAGGAAGTGTTACTAACATGCCATTATTTAAAATGGTGAACACTGTAACATACGACTCTGCTGTGAGGTATAAGACTTGATACTGAAGGGTTTAATACCTCATCAGCTTCTCACACCAACAGGCCTACAACAGTTTTATTACCAAAGAAACTGGGCGAAGCAGTTGTGCAAGTCTGTGAATGTTTGTGAACGCTTCTCTCTGCTGCAGGCCTCGTTCTGAATGAATACCAAAATGTGCCTTTCTGTCACGTTTGCAACCACAATGCTAATTCATTTTTAGAACAACCACAAAGGGCTGTTTGCAGCTGACTCCTCGAATATGACCTTTCTCTCAGCGTATCAACCAGTAGGATAGTCAATACATTCCCTGACTCTGAATGTAGCAGATAACTCTGGGCCTCATCACACAGCTTGTGGCAGCCCTATACACTGTTTTTGTTCCTGGTAGACAAATGAAGTGAGTTGAAACTCTTCAGTCTGGGTGAGCTTTGCAGACTCTGCTCTAACTTTAGTTTACTGTACATTTCAGGTTGATAATGGCTGACGCGCATTCGACAGAAACTGTTTGATAAATGTATGACTGAGAAACAGTATTAATCGTCAGTATTATTTATTTTGTATTGTTTGCATTGACAACTCAGTGTGAAAGCCTCCTAATGTGTTGCTGTAACAATGTGCTAATGTGTTTGCAAAACTTTTGTAAAGGTCCCATGAAGTGGCTTTTTGATTGTAATTTTCTCCTGTGGTTTGACGTATTTCATATTAAGATGTTGAGGCTGATGGGAAGTGATAGAGTTTTAAAGACTGGCAGCCGTCATTGAGGGTCCTTCACCTTCTTCATGTCATGTTTTAATCCCACGTGGTGAAGGGTTGGCTGGATCACCCCGAAATCACCAATCACACTGTACTGGATGGAGTTTTATATCGTGTGCAGGACAAGCCATTAAAAAAAAACTTGACACTTTACAGGAAGAGAAAGGGATTTTAATATAAATATATGCAACAATGACTTTTTGTCAGAAGAATATAGAGAACAACACACCCAGGGACACACAAGCCATTTTTCATTTCATGGGACCTTTAAAATCTCTAGCACAAGATTTATCTTTGGAAAGTCAGGCTCCGCATGCCTTAACATCTCAAATGTTTTGCAAAAGGGAAAAAGATGTTTATATTTTCATACTTTTGTCCTTATTTGTATTTGCATATTTTAGAAATAAAGATTTTCAACATTTTGTTTTGTTTTAATTTGTTTCAAATTGAATTTAATATTAACTGATTTTTAAATTTATACTACGGTTTTCCTAAAAAAACAATGTATAGACTCTCACAGTCCTCTCAGTCATCACTTATGACCCACTAGAAGTGTGTAGCAGTGTATTTATTTGCAGAGACTCCACCCTCTTGCCTGTACTTTGTTATTATTTCATTGAGTTTGGACGTTCTTGGTGACAGCGCAGAGTTGAGGTCTGGAAAAGTAGCGACCAGGTGCCAGACTACAAGCAGCACACATCCAAGAGAAAGCTACAAAAATCATGCACACAGCGCTGAAAAACCCCAAACATAGTGAGGCAAAACAACAAGTGGACAAAGCTGGGGTTGACGTTCACTTTCGCTGTCAATATTGCCCACAATTCTTGCATAGTATAAATTTAACTACAGTATTTTCATCCCTTCTGTGGAGAAAGCCACAAGTACCAGCTTTCTAAAACTTATGTGTTACACCAGATCGGTATCAGCTGTGAATCTTATTAAGCAGATCGGGTATTGACCTGATTGCTCAATCGACTGTTATAAAATGTCATGTTTCCACCAGTGGTTACATTGATTCAGTCTCAGTGGATCAACAACCTAGTTTTTAGAATCACAGCAGTCCCTGTCCTCATGTTACGCAACATAAAAATGATCCCAGGCAGGGGTCAGAGTCCTGGTAATTGTGCATGCTGCCTCGCTGTCACATTGTCATGACTTGAAGCTGCAGTTGGTGACTTGTTGGTGACTGTCACTATACTCACACAGCCCTAAATGAGACACAAACATTCTCATTTTACAGCTAAACAGTACACTAAAAGATGTTTCTGGAAACATTTGAGGTGAGAAATAGGAGATGCAGTAACAGAATGTTGATTGATCAGTGCTGTTGAATCCGACTGTGGTTCACAGAAAGTGATGACATAACTGATGTTGGAGACATCTCAGCTCTGGTTGGTTATTTTTAAATAAATGCCATGAGAGGCAGTAGGAAGAGTAAGACGGACTTGATTGTTTTAAACAGACTGTCTCGTATTTTCAGAATATAGTGACAGTTTCAGCAAATAGGACAGTTAATTCATGTAAGTTACCAACTGTAGCTTTAATGGGACACTTGAATAGAGCACATAGTTAATGTTAATACAAACACCTGTGCTGTGCAGACGGCTGAGATGTAACCTATAGGTTTATTTTATTCTCTTCAGTCAATGAATGAGAGCGTTGCTTCTTTCGCAGCAGCAGAGTAGCATTAGACATCAGACCGCATGATTGGAGCGTCTGGTGGTCATCGTCGTAGCAGCACTGTGGGTACGCACTGATAATGTCATAATCAGGGAGACCACTCCCTCTGTAATGCAAGAAACACAAGCAACCAGTGTCACATGTTGTAAAGAGAAGAAGATGCTTTGTCCGTGCAGGAGGACGAGGTCTCACCTGTGTTTGTCCAGATGCTGCCGCAGGTGGCCGATTGTTTCTGAGAAGCACATTTTCAGCATGTAAGTATGATTCCCATCTTCTGACTTCACCTTGAGTGTGATGACATCACGGGCGGATGAAGGCCGGTCAGGGCTGGACGTCTGCAGTCTAGTGACAGTAACAAAACAAATGTAATAGTCATTACCCAGCTGCAGTGTACAGACATACAGTTCAAAACATGCTTGATGATATAATAATGGCTCAGACTGGTCTGGGACTCCTTCAGGAGGTCACAGATCCCAATCACAATCTAACCAGTGCTGGCTGTCCATTGTGACCTGCCCTATTTTTCAGACCAGTGCCTACACTAATCTCCACAGTCTTGACAATCAGCCCCTGCGACCAGATGAGCATTTCAATCAGCCTTTAAATCATGTAGTGTGTTCTTGGATCAAGTAATTCCTTTAACCCCATGAACCCTGTTTTTCCTTCGACATGATTGTAGAGATAGATAATGATTTTAACGCTGCTTACAACATCATATATACAGTATGTCCTGTATCTTACATGGAGTGGCTAATTAAACCCAAGATGCAATATTTTTCATGACCATAGCTTTAGGTCAAATGGAAATATTCCAGATCTGTGTATCATTTTTTAGTTTACCCCAAATCCATCCTGACCTGTTTTGTATCTTAAAAACATTGGAGTATTCTCTCCCAGTTAAAGAATTCTTTTTTATGACTTTTAAAGTTTATTGAATTTCAGATTTTTCAACACACCAAACCACCTCAAAAGGACCCCCCCCCCCCAAAAAAAAAAAGAAAAGAAAAGGAAAACACAATAACAAGCTCCCTGAACATCACCAGACAGAAGACAGAATAAATAAATAAGTAAAAGAAGTAAATGGAATAGGTAAGGATTGATATAATACATAAAATCGAAGCAAATAAACCATAGTGATAAAAAAAACACAACATGTAAGTAAACTAATGTCAAAATAGTGTCAAAATATTTCCTTTGGCTGCACCATCACCACATCCTAAAGGAATTCGTCACCAGCAAAATGACCATTTGTATTTTAATTACTCACAGCATGTCACCTTGAATTTGTGAAGAGATTTTTTTTCCTTGCCTCCACAATGAAATAATAATCCAAAAAAGGTGAACATTCTTCAAGAGCAGCAAAAGTGTTTCAAAACATTAATTCATTACAAAACTAAGTTCAGTCAGGACCACCTTAGTCACATACAACTTTATTCCCATTTGCAGTATTATATTTGGTGGTATGGCTCTGTTCTGGGGCCTCTCTGCCTTTCCTCGGGCTACGCAGAAAGCCTCTTCTACGCACCTCCGTGAAAGGCCTAAGGCAGAGAGAGCACACCTCTCTGCCCTTCCATGTGCAAATGAGGAAAGCCTAAGGCAGAGAGAGCACACCTCCCTGCCCTTCCATGCGCCTACATGGAAAGCCCAAGGCAGGAAGAGCAGCAGCAAAGACCCCCCGTGAACAGAACAGAGCAGCATCAATAACAAAGAGAAATGACATCAATAAGTCAGACACAGCATGAAAAGGAGGAGCTGGGGTGGAGGTGGGTTGCAAAGCGGCTTGCAGAGGAAGCAGCAGCTGAAGCCAGGCCAGAGCAGTTTAAATAGTGCGCCCTGAGTGAGATTTGCCAATTGGTTGCAGAGAAAGGAATCTTGTGATCTATCAGCTGACTCCATCAGATTATCAGTTCTGTTTGTGATCAGCTGATGTAGCTGGGGCGTGAGCTGAACTTGACATTGTGTCCTGCCTGAACGAACACCATGCTTGGTTTTTCCTCACAAATTAAAGGTAACACACACTGAATAATTGTTACACCAATGGTCATTTTGCTGGTGAAGTATTCCTTCAAGGCAACAAAATTGTCTTACATGGAAAAAAAACCCAGTGTGCTTACATTATAGATGATTTTTTTATACCTTTCTTTGATTGCTTGCAGTGCCGGCGTGTCTACAAGGATCACTGAGTTGCTGCTCTGGGCATCAGATGAACCCTAGTGAAAGTACTCAATAGATAGATGATGAGCACACTGGAGTGAGTGTATGTTCAGCACAAGCACAAACAGGCGAGAAAGTAAACTGTAGTGATCATCGGCTGAACACACAAGACCTATGGGTGCAAACACTTGTAAGAATCCTTAATAACAAGGTGGATCTTCTATGGTTGCTGCTCACCTGCAGGGCGGCCTTCACTGAGCCCCTGATATCAATAACACGACCAGCCTTCACGACCACCTTTGGTAACTTGTTCAGGAACTGATGCATGCTCAACTTCTTGCCTGTGAGCAGAAGAAAACATGAGAATAACAAAGACTGAGGAGTTTTAACTCAAGTTTGACTTAGGGGAGTGTCTGTGTGGTGTTTGCAGGACAGACCTGGTAACTGAGAACTGCCGTCGTTCAGTGGTTCATCTTTCTTCCCACGAACAGCCTGACCCTCACCAGGAAACTTACTCCACGGTAGCCTGGAGATAAAATCTTCATCTCGCCTGTCATGAACCTGCACAGAAAATTTAAAAGATGTAGCGAAGCCGCACATGGTATACACATTTTCTCACAAATAGGAACAAACCTCAAAAGGCACACCATCTGGAAACCTTTCTTGAAGCTCAGATGGAAAATACCCATCCATCAGATCTTGCATGCATCGCTGCAAAAACCAAAAGAGAAAGGTTAATGAATACAGTTTAAAGTTTTAAATAATTTCCTGTGTAACCTTAGTGCGTAAGCAAACCTGGGTGCTGTGCTCCTGATAAGAGCGGAAAGGCCCGTCAAACATGACAATGCCGTTGCTGTAGAGGCTCAGCTGAATAGGATCCTTCTTTGCCAGCTGTGCCCCCGTGGCTGTCGACTGTACAAAGCTCTCTCCATCCCCTGCCAGGCTGTTCAGCTCCTCGATCCTCTGCAGCACGAGGTCAAAGTTCATGTGGAAGTTTCTGACCACGGAGGTGTCTGCAAAATAAAGATACACAGCATGTTAAGAATGATTTTAAGTAGATAATACAGTGATTATCTGTGTTAAGTAAATGTTTAGGAAGCCTGTAAAGATGACAGTATGGAAACTACCTGGCTGCCAGACGCCTCTCTCTGACTGCTCACTTTCAGCTGAGTCACTGCCTTCCCCATCTCCCACCCAGATCAAACCATAGTCATTTAAGAAGCTCTGCCAGATAGAGATCAACAGAGTTCAACATGGTGTCATCGCAAAATAAACATAGCAACAAAATGTTTTATTAAATCGACTCACCTCCATCTCACACACTTGATTCTGCAGCTGCTGGCACCTTCTTTTGAGATCGTCTGTGCTGCTCTGATCATGCGTGCTCTCTAAATCCACAAAGAAAGGAAGATGGAGCCAAAATCAAATACTTTCATTTAGAAATTTAGGGTGAATCAAACTCAGGTGTGTAGCTGTTACCCAATTGTTTCAGAAGCTTCTGTTTTTTCTCCAACACGGAAATCCTTTTATCCTTCCAGAGGAAATTGAAAGTGAGAGTTAGACATGTTTAAAAGATGTCTGTTTTGTATTTTGGAGGAGGTGTGTGTGTTCTCACCTTGCTCTTGATCTCCTCTGCTTGGCTTCTCACTTTTTTCTCCAGCAGGCACACACGCTGCAGCGCAGCCGACATCAGCTCAAAGTCGCTTGGTGCAGCACCTGAATATCAGGGTCTTAGAGTGCGTAAAAGCATCCTTTGTACTTTTTAAAGTATATATATTCAGTTTGTTTAAAAATAAATAAAGAAAGACAGACTTTGTAATAAAAACCTTAGTATGAGCTTATACCTTTCTTTAATGGTGCTTTTGACTTTGAAGTGGAGGCATCATCTGCTGGAGTGTGAGAGGTTGGGGGAGGATTTAGATCAGAGGATTTATCATCATCAGCCAATGATGACTGAACCTCTAGAAAACACAAACATAAAAATACATAAAAGTCAAAAATCTGTTTGTCAGAGTAGTGTAATGGTGTAATAACTAGTGATGCAATGTAACTAAGTACGTTTAGTTAAGTACATTATTTTTTTCATGCTACTTTATACTCCACTACACTTTAGAAGGACATAGTTCATTGTACAGCTGTTTGATTTACACACAAAACACATGAAGAGCTTATCAAACATGATGCTTTGTTACAGATTAAACTCTCCAACAGTATGCAATGTTAGAGCTGAAATACTTATTTGATTAGTCAATTAGTTAAAAGAAAATTGATTGATTAAATTTCCATCCAAAAATACCAAACTTCTCGTCACCAGCTGCTTCCTCCTTGTCATTGTAATGTCTCATTTGTGTGAAGCAATGTGACGGTGTCACTGTGGATTCTGGGTAATTGCAATGGGCATTCCTATTTTCTCAATTTTTCTTTTTTTACAAATTAAACAATAATCAGCCCATATGGGCCATAATGAAAAAAAATCATTAGTTGCATCCTTTTAAAAAATAGTTAAAAATGAGCTCGACCTCAACCAACTACAACAGTAAGCAGAGGTGGGTAGTAACTAGTTACATTTACTCAGTTACATTTACTTGAGTAACTTTTTGGATAAATTGTACTTTTCAGAGTAGTTTTGATGCAAAATACTTTTTACTTTTACTTGAGTTATATTGTTTTAAAGCAACAATACTCTTACTTGAGTACAATATTTGGCTATTCTACCCACCTCTGACTACATAATTACATGTATATATATATATATATATATATATATATATGTACAGTATATATAAGAATATGTTTGTGTTTCTTGTGCCTTGATTTATGTTATGTTTGGAAAGATTTAATTTATTTTTGTTTTAGTTAGAGTGGTATCGTTTAAAATACATGAATTTGAAGATTATTATTTTTGATTGATTGATTATGTTCATGTTCTTATTTTACAAATAAATCAGACGTTACTCAACAGTTACTCAGTACTTGAGTATTTTTTTCACCAAATACTCTTTTACTCTTACTCAAGTAATTATTTGGATGACTACTTTTTACTTTTACTTGAGTATTATTATTCTTAAGTATCAGTACTCTTACTTGAGTACAATATTTGGCTACTCTACCCACCTCTGACAGTAAGATGCCTGTTCCATATAAATGTATAAATAATATTTATTTATTTAACCAGGAAGTCCCATTGAGATTTAAGCAGCCAATCAAAACACATTTAAAATGCAACAACCTCAACATATAAAACAAAATCCACAATAAAACAACAACTATTCAAACATAGTGGCCTCTCAAGAAATACAAGCACGTCTCTATCACCACATTCTTTATGATACTCGTAATGGATATAAATGTGTCTAATTTAGATATTTCTGAAGATTGTTCCATGTCCAAGGTGCAGAGTAGAAGGATGCAGTTAAAACCCAGGTTAAATTAAAAAGCAACAACCTGAAGGAGTGAAGCTGGTAACTACCAGAGCTGACACACAGCAGGGAGCAGAAGTCAGCCGGAAGTTTTCAAAGTATTGCTTTATAGATAGAAATATACCAGTGCTGTTGTCTGCTAGTGGCCAATGATGTCCAACCCACCAAATCATAAAGATGCAGGGATGAGTGAGTGACTTTGCATTTGTAATAAAACATTGAGATGCATGGTACACTGAATCAAGGCTATGTAAAGTGGAGGAGGTTGCATGCATATAAATAATGAATCATTTTTCCAGTTATACTTACAGACTTTTAGCCTGCTTAATGCAGGACTTTTACTTATCATTTAGTGTATCTATAGTGTGCTATAACTTTCTCAGCCACTGGTGATGAGTGTTGTTTTAGTCAGTGCAGTCTCATGCCTTTATGTTTAGTAGGCTCCAAGCTTTAAACCCTACCTTTTAGCAGATTCCTCCTGAAAGGCACTTTAGGTCTGCCCCTGCAGGTCAAAGACAGTTTAGCATGTATGCTCACAGGTGCACACTAAAGTTCACTAACGTTTTCACATGGATATAACCTACCCTTGATCACTCACAGGGCCCTGTAGTGGCGCGCGCCTCGTTTTCTTCAGCATCGACAAAGGTGAGCTCATTTTACCTGAGACAGGAAACTCCTAATACAAGTAACTTCACTGTGGGGGCACTGTGTGTGTTTTTCCAGTTTGTTTGGAGTCCGTTGCCGTTAGCAACGCAGGGCGAACAGCTGACGTGATGCCTGTTTCATCCGCAGGAGGTCGCTGTAACCATCACTCACTCTGTCTATCAATCAGTCCAGCCCCATAGGCTTTATTGGCAGGACTTTTTTATTTTAACTTTTGTATTAAGTTTCCACACAATGCATCTGGTGGTTAATACATTCAGATATAGTGCATTCAGATGCATACAAAGTGGAAAGCAATGGTCATAAACCATAAGCACAAACTTCAGTATTAAGTGTACAAAAAAAAAGAAAAACTCGAGTATGAAAACACACACAAGGGTTTACTTAATTGTTATAACGTTGTAAAATATGCATAAATCAATTGTTTTGGTCAGCTTTTTATGACACATTTTTAAGTTTGAAATTGTTTTAAGGTATACATCTAGATCTGACATAGATGTTTTGTTTCATGGATATAGAATTTAGCAAAGATAATGACAAAATTAAGACATTTGCAGGACATTTGAGATGTGTTGCCAAAGCACAATTACAATTAAAGGACAGTGAATGAAATCAACAACTGATGTAAACAAAATAGAATAATTTTCATACAATACATATAAAGTCATACACATATATCTCATAGCCTACATGTTTACCCATAAACACGTTTTGTGTTTGTGTGGGGGTAAAAAACAAAGTGCAAAACCAAACAAAAAAAACATAGAGGAGTAAATAAAAAGGCAGACTGTGAGCTGTGAAGAGATGAACTCCAACTTTTATGTTATTGTCTACTGTATGAATATTTAAGTTGGTTTAGTTTTTGTTTTGTCTGTCTGTCACACACACACACACACACACATTTACGTATACACTTATGCTGTTTTTGTTTTTACAACTGGCTTGTGACTGATTTTTATTTTGCATTAAACAAAAAACAACAATAACAGAACAATTATATTTCACTGGGACCTACAGATGAAAATGAAAATAAAGCAGTGTGTTTTTAATGCTTTTGAAAATATATGCTGATATCCAAACTCTCATTGAGCCTCAGTAGCTGTCAGAGTGCCTTCATGGTCTTGTGGTGTGGTTACTTGTAGCCACTAGTGGGCCCGGTGCGGTGCAGCCATCGTGTCCGGCTCAGCCCTGCTCTCTGTGGGAAGTGAGCGGGCATTCAGAGAGGATGCTGAGGCCTGCCAGTCCCGCGACTCATCCATCAGTAACCCGGGGCTATTAGGCTGGTCCGGGCTATGGCTGCACCTATCGCACATTTCGACGACGACTGGCCGATCGTAGGTGATCTGAGCATGGTTTCAGACCAGAGGCTGCTGCCGCAGAAAGGCCGCGCAGCCGCCGCCGCCGCGGGGGAAGCTGCACCGCAGCTCCTCCTGGATGAGGATGACTTCCCGGAGCTTCACGACAGCAGCTTCTCCCCGGGGGAAAGCGGTGCTTTCAGGTCCATGGAGGACCTGGTGAACGATTTTGACGAGAAGTTGTCGGTTTGCTTCCGTAATTTTGACGCCAGGACGGACAGCATCGCTCCTGTGAGCGAGATAACAGAGGAGTCGCTGCTGGAGAAAGACGAGTGAGTGTTGTGTTTAGGGCCTGTCCGCAGGCTACATGTTGTTTATGATGTGTGCATATGGAGACTTTAACTCTCTGCTGCAGGATGTATTTTCAAAATCATGTAAAGATATGATATCTGCTGTGTGACAGTTTATTTCATACATCAGGAACATTTCTTAACAACAGTGATCCTAAATCGTCTGTTAAGGATGTGGTGGGGCTATAATGTCAGCAACGCTTCCTCCATCCTCTCTACCTTCTGCTAAGCCATCAAACTGACAACAGAGATGTGTTTTACCTCTGTAATAAGAGTCTGCAAATGTAAGATACAGCCATTATTACACATACAACCAAACAGGTGCACTGATATCGGCGTACTATCGGTATCTGTCCCTAAGTGGCTTATAAAAACAGATATTGGCCGATATGAGCGGACCGATGAGTCATATTTGTGGTTTTACAGCCGATAATTATTTAAAATTAGCACATGATTTCTGTTTCTAGGATTACTTTTATTGCTGACCCTTATTTATTTTTTATATTCCATATTAGCGTCATGAATATTGTTATCACAAAATATCTTATATGATGATTTAGAGTCAAAGGTAAGTATATTAATAGAGTAGCTTATAGTCAGGGAATCATCTGCAGCTATTTTGATCATTTACAACCTGCTGGGAAATTTAAATATAATGGTATTGTTTCAAACATTCACATCAGTTTGTTATATTAAAGGTACTTTTACTTTACTTGAGTATTTTACTCTCATGCCACTGTCTTTCTGCTCTGCTACACAACTTTACGTAACAGTGTCACCAGATGACTACAGTCCCCTATATCTACTAAATAAGTGCATTGACGAAATCAATACGTGGATGTGCCAGAATTTTCTACAACTAAACACAGAAAAAACTGAGATAGTTGTTTTTGGCCCCAAAGAACAAAGATCAATAGTCAGTGCTCACCTTGACGCCATGACACTAAAACCTACAAATCAAGCCAGAAATCTTGGTGTAGTTCTGGACTCAGACCTAAATTTCAATAGTCACATTAAGACAATTACTAAATCAGCCTACTACCACCTTAAAAACATAGCAAGAATAAAAGAATTTCTGTCTAAACAAGATACAGAAAAACTTGTTCATGCTTTCATTTTCAGCAAGCTGGACTATTGTAATGGTGTCTTCACAGGCCTGAGTAAAAAATCAATCAGACAACTGCAGCTCGTCCAGAACGCTGCTGCCAGAGTCCTCACCAACACCAAGAGAGTGGAGCACATTACACCAGTGCTTAAATCACTGCACTGGCTTCCTGTGTGTCAAAGGATAGACTTTAAAATCTTGTTACTTGTCTATAAAGCACTAAATGGTCTCGGGCCTAAATACATCTCTGATATACGTTATGAAGCATCCAGACCCCTCAGATCATCTGGAACAGGTTTACTCAGTGTTCCCAGGATCAAAACCAAACAAGGTGAAGCAGCCTTTAGTTTCTATACTCCCCGCCTGTGGAACAAACTTCCAGAATATCTGAGGTCGGCTGAAACTGTCAACTCATTTAAATCAGGGCTTAAAACATTACTATTTACTGCAGCTTACCAGTGAACTAGATATGTAACTTATTGTTAGGATAATCTGTAGCTATTGTTTTTTATATTTGTCTGTTGTTGCTTTTGCTTTATGTTTGCTTTTTAAATGCATTTTCTGCACTGTTTTTCTTGCTTTTAGCTTTTGTTTTTAATGATCTATTGTTCCTTTACCTTTAATGTTTAATCTTAACGTATTTCTCTTGTAAAGCACATTGAATTGCCTTTTGTATGAATGGTGCTATATAAATAAAATTGCCTTGCCTTGCCTTACACTTCAGAGGGACATATTGTACTTTTTACTCCACTACAATTACTTGATAACTTCAGTCACCAGTCAAGACAATTTTAATTATGTAACACATTTCATATCACAAGCGTAAACTCAATGTGTTTAAGATGCATCATACATGACAAACATAATGTAGTGTATAAGATAATAAAATATTACATATATAAAAACAAGCGGGACATGATAAAAACAAACGAAATAAGAGGCTACTATTATTATCATTATTCACAATTAAAGGGAGATAATAGCAATGATAATACTAATAGATATGTTACGAAAAAAGATACGTTTTTTGTTTGCTTTTAAAAGAGAACACTGGTTGGTTCATGTGGAAGAGTATTCCAGAGAGCAGGACCATAATGACTGAAAGCACCATGAGCTGAATGAGAGTTGATTTTAGGTACGATGAGTTGACCTTTATTGCAACACTATTGCACTAGTTTACACAAAAACCACATGAAAATATACAAGTGCAGCTAAAATGATCAGCTGTTTGATTTGACAATTGATTTTGCAACTAATGTAATAATCATTTAGGCAAGTTTTCATTCACAAAATGTTTCAATATCTCAAATCTAAGGACTTGTCATTTTTCCTTTCTAATCATTTTATTAGTTTTGATTTATTAGGCCTGAATTGATGTAATATTTTCTGCATTGAGTACTTTTACTTTTAATACTAAAATAAAATTTCCTGATTGTATTTTTAGTCCAGGAACTAGGGGGTTGGTCATGCCAATTTGGAGGGACCATTTCTCATAGTGATTCGCTTTTAAAAGATATATGTCCCTCGTGTTGGAATATGCATGATCGCAGATCATTTTTACATGGCTCCATCATTACAATTTTTCCATGTTTTTCACCATTTTACAAATTGAGCCATTATAAAAGAGGATAACCTTCACAGAATATCATTAAGTCATATATCATTGTAAAGCTTAGACTAACATCTATCTACTGGTCACATTTTCATGACACTGGGGACAGCAGAATTTGACCTTTGACCTCTAACGCTGCCCTAGGGTGATTTCTGAATGCCTCTGTAAATAACCAACTTCATATTGATCTGATGTGCCTATAGATAGTTCCATCATAAAGAACACCAAAAGAGCTTTAAAATGACATATTGCTTAACTTTGTGCAATTTGGTTCTGATAAAATGTTCAGAACTTTGCATTGGATTCTGTTATTGGCTGAAGCAAAAACACAAATGGCCCTCTCTGGAGCCAGTGTTGTGTTCTCGTTCTGGGCTACTGTAGAACAACATGGCGGACTCTGTGACAGAGGGCCCGCTCTGTATGTAGCTTTAAACTGCTCACTCTAATGTAATGAAAACATAACAATTCTGGGTGTTGACAAAGTCTTTCTTTGGGGATATAATTTACAGTTGAAAAAAGGTAATATATCGCAACATATTTTATCACAATACTCAGCATATCGCAGCATATGATTATATCGTATCCTCCAGTGATTCCCAGCCCTGCTACACAGTGGACCTTTTAGTAAAGGATCTTAATACTTCCTCTTCTTATGATGCAGAGTGACAAAACACTTTAAAACTTTGTCAGAGGCGCTAAACATGACTTCAGTGTTTCATCAGGAGGCACCAAGCTGCAGCTTTGGGCTTCTGTGATGCCTTCTAATGTCATCATCTGTAGTATTTTCAACTTGATAAGCTCAGTTGAGGATTATACTTTCAACCGCAGAATCAAAACTGATTGTGACTTGTGGATGCGATGTCTAAAAGTATTTCTTTGGTGTCTTTGTGCATTAAATCAATACCAGTGCCCTTGCTAGAAATGTAGGTATGTTTTTCATAAATTCATCTGTTAAAGGGGTACACCAGTGATTATTGTTCCCCACTCATATGACTAAAACTGCAAAAGCACTGGATCCTACATTTCCCGTAAACCATTCAGCAGCTCCTTTTGTTAGACTACCTCTGCCTGGTAAATGTCCGTGTTCCTCAAACTCCATGCCCCAGTTTGTTTCTGAAATCTGAATTAAGAAAGCTCTCCCCAGACTTTTTTTACAGGCTGTCTGTGGGGGGTAAACTGAACATTATCAGAATAATTTAGCATTTTGGACTAAAATGTTGTTTGCTCCTTCGCAGAATCTGGAAGTCTTTGACCAGTAACTACGGGCGTGTGATGCCTGTGGACTGGAAACAGTCGCGGACATGCTCCCTCCACATTCCCACCAACAACCTGGAGGAGAAGCCTGTGAGTGACCTTACCTCTCCATCCCATCTCTGTCCCACTTTCCTCCAACCCTCAGCCCCCCTCCCTCCGTCCCAAAATCTCTTTTCTATTCATCGCAAATATTTATCGTGTCAGGGTTTAGCGCTTTGATTAAATTCCCTCCCCCTGCTCTGTTCCTGGTTAGAGAAAGACTGATGTCACGGCAGAGCTGTCAGATGATGAGGAGCTGAGGGAGCAGCTGGACATGCACTCCATCATCGTCTCCAGCCTCGCCGATGAGCCCCTTTTCACAGCAGAGCAGGTAAGTTACATGTAAACATCAACTTCCTGTATCCAAGATGCAGCCACATCGTGTCAGGCCTATTGATGCAAAGCAGCAGCTAAACATGGCTGAAATCCCTATGTGTTTCCCACACAGATTTAATAACTGATGTGTGCTGGGTTATTTTGGGCGCTGCCTCTCTGATGTGTGTGTTGGCGCTCTGTGCAGGTCATCGAGGAGATAGAGGAGATGATGCAGGACTCTCCTGACATGGAGGCAGGGCACAATCCATCTCAGTCGGACCTCTCGATGCTCTCCTTGGACGTCCAGCGGTCCACCAGGAGCCCCACCTATGAATTGAGTGAGTGTCCACTAGCCAGGACATGTGGTGTTACAAATAATCAGCAACAAAGGAACCTTTGTTGTGGAGTTTTCTTGCAGTGCTGACTGAACTGTATTGGTCCCATGATACATTCACTTGTGGTTCTTTGCTTGTGAAGGATCATCTTGTGATTTGTTATTAATACAGTGGGCATTAACAGCATGACGCATTCTCTGACAATATGATCTTGATAAAAGTATTTTTATAACTCTGAGAATGCACATGTGAGGTACGGACCAGTGTGAGCTTCAGTACAAGTTTACCAAAACTAAAGGATAAATGGCCGTCCACCCCAAGATGGATAACGACAACAATAATGATGTTAGCATCCACACTGATCAACGCTAACCCTCCAGCTGTGTCAGCAGCTTATGACAATGGATACTGATGACCTGTAGCTTTTCATGATCATCTCTGCATCTGCATTAATAATAATAACAAAACACTTACCACCAATTCTAAGGGTGAGCCTGATTGCATCCCACATGTCCTTCTTGACAGCGTCTTTATGAAGACTGTTTCATCAAACAAGTGTGTTTTTTTTAACCTCAATTATAAGTATTTCTGTAATGTCATCTTCCATGTTGAACATGACGCCCTGTCAATTTGGCTGTCAGTATTTCTATCATTTATTAGATTGCTCTGAAAGTGATCCAATGACATTGTTTGCCTCTGTTCGTCTCATTCTAGCTGTGGTGTGGACACTTGAGTTAGACTTAAAACGTATAAAAAGTATGTAAAGTTATTCATAAAGTTGCAGTTCTTGGTTTTGAAGGCCTTTAACTCTGGTGATACTCTGAGTTTTCGCACTGTCAACAAATCCCGTGAAAAAAAAACAGTGAATTGCTGCAGCGGAGCTTCTATTGTTGCCCCCAAAAGTGTGCATAAATCCACGGCTGAAAATAGTCCACAACGAATGTGCTATTTATTACTGTTTGAGTAATGTTTGCTAAAAACTACAGTGCCCAGCTGTTTCATAAAATGACTCAGCTTTTTCTTTAAAATTAAACTAAATATTCATGACAGGTGTTCAAAGATTTATGTCTTCAGCAGGAATAAATGGATCCCGGACTCCTCCATTCTGCATGTCGAAGTATCCTTGAGCAAGATACTGAACCCCAAATTGCTCCCGATGGCTGTTCCATCGGTGTGTGAGTGTGTTAAAACTAAGTAGCAGGTGGCCACCAGTGTATGAATGTGTGTGTGAATGGGTGAATGTGTGTAGTGTAAAAAGCGCTTTGAGTGGTCGGATGACTAGAAAGGCGCTATACAAGTGCAGGTCCATCCATTTACCAAACACAGACTAAGGCGCTAACACTAAACGCTAACACTGCGTAAACCTTGTGGTGTTTCTGTGCCTGTGTTAACAGGTTAGAGCAGCCACACTGCCCGTGTGAGCAGCACGGCTCAGGGGCTGCATGGCTGCTGCTCAGCTGTGGAAAAACAAGAGATTTTTGATATCATACCACCTTTCACTTCACTTTTAATGTCTATATGTCAACGCTTCCTATTCCCATTTCAAAATAAAACCCGTCTGTCAACGATGCTGTGGACAGAATCCCCTCATTTGTTAACACAGGGCATTTTATTGTGAAATATTTGCAGGGTCATGTTGTTGAAAATGCACTGGCTTGCACACATCCATGAATGAACTGACTACCAAGTACTGACTTTAAATTGTAGAAATACAGTGGTTATAGCAGTGGGCAGTGCAGCAGCAGGAACACTGTCTGTGTGAACACCACACGCAAACGAGCTGCCGCAGTTCAGCGATGTGCTGCTCACGCAGGCAGTGTGGCCCACTCATAACACATCATTGGTTTTGGTCTTTTCATGGGATTTGTTGACAGTCGATAAATCTAAAATATTGCCACCCCCAGTCTATGTAAAATAACTGATGAATGAAGGATCAAAAAAATCAACAGCTGTGTTTTGTGTGTTCCAGGGGTGAGGACCCTGAGTGTTGCAGAGTTGAATGAGCGTCTGGAGGAGATGGAGACAAACATCAGGAGATTCTCAGAGGAGCTGGTGCAGCAGCTGGCTCTCAGGGACGAGCTGGACTTTGAGAAAGAGGTGAAGAACAGCTTCATCTCAGCGCTCATCGATGTACAAAACCGACAGAAGGAGCACCGGGAGCTGCTGAAGAAAAAGAAGAAGCTCAGAAGTGGAGCTGGGAAGTCGCAGGGCCACGCGGAGAAGACGCTCGGATCAGTGAGCGCTTTATCCTCTCACTTCTGTTTCAAACATCACCAGCCGGGTGTCTGATGATGTTGTAGTCATGTTTTTCCACTGTTTGCTTGCATTTCTTCCTGCATTTGTTTTCCAACAAACTGTATTTTCCTGAAATCTCCCATCTGTGCTCACTCTTCGTCTCATGTTTCGCTGCTTTTCTTCCTTCCTCCTCAGCGCTTCAGCGTGGAGGGAATCTCCTCTGTCATTCAGAACAGCTTTCGGCAAACTTTTGGGAGTGGGTGCAGTGAAAGACAGGTTACTTTGTATTTCTCTCTCAGCTGCTGAACTTTATCTTCCTGATTTCTGCGCTAAAAAATATACTCTGATAGAAATGTCATCCCTCAGAAACATCCTCTACAGCACCTTCATCTCAGCCATCGTTCTCTGTCTCTGTCTGTATCTCTGTTTTACAGTATTTGACCACAGTCATCCCTTACGAGAAAAAGGGAAACCCTCCGTCACTTGAGGACCTCCAGATCCTAACTAAGAGTGAGTTTCTTCATCTGTACCAGCAGAACTTGAATTTTAGCAGGTGCGACTGATTCATTCACTCCTCTGTTTCTGCTGCCCTGCAGTTCTACAAGCTATGAGAGACGACAGTGACAAAGTGCCCAGTCTCTTAACAGACTATATCCTCAAAGGTGAGCTGCTCTCTGTTGATTTTGTTTACTCACTGTAGCTGGCAGTGTGTCTGCACTGTCAGTGGTGTTCCACAGGGACTGGTGCTGGTGACGTGACCTTAAAGAACCACCACAGCAATTTTGCATGTTACAAAATTTACTTTGAATCATTTATACTCCACATTACTTTTGGCCATAATATCACATATAGATTTTATTTCCCGCAATTTCAGTACATTGTAAAATGCTTGATATCAGCAATCAAGTAAAGTTAGATGATGTTACATCACTATTACTTGATATTGCAATTGGGAGCAGGTATTACTTTGAAAGCAATTCATGCTGATGCATTGAAAGACACAACAAAATGTGAAATTTGACAGTTGGCAGCCATAAGCCATCACGTTTTCAGTCATTTGTAGATTAAATACAACAAGAAAATATTCATAGTCTTAAAAGCATGATTTAAATCTGGTACTTAAAAAGTCTGGTAGCTGACTCTGAGGTCTCAAATGACACAGTGCTCGATGAGTATGAGCTGCAGACTGTACATAAAAATGGCCGACGCGTCTCCACTGAAGCCAAAATGTCCCGGATACAGGCGCTGACATTTTGTTCTGGTGATGTCATTTGGAGCCAGAGTCTGCGCAGTAGTAATTGGGGAATGAGGCCACTGTATTAAGGTCCTGCACATACACCCGCCTGACTCAATCACAGGTCAATCACGGCTATATATATATATTTATTAAACGGATAGTTGAACATACATCAGCATGACAAGATCTACCTAAAATAGCAGAAACATCTTTAGAAAAAATTTATTTAATGTGTTTTTTGATTTTTTTAGTTTGGCCCATGTCCCATCTGTTAACATGGAGGGGGCGGGGTTTCTGACCTATACCACAGCCAACGACCAGGGGGCGATTGAGATGCTTTGGCTTTACTTTGGGGGAGCTGTAATGTCATCCAGCTTTATTATATAGTCTACAGTCTGTATACCACACTTAACGATGGAAAACATGATAGCTTCCTAAGAGTGAATCACGAACCCCTCAATCACCCCCTGGTGGCTGGCTGCAGTATAGGTCATGAACCCTCCATGTAAGCTGATGGGACATTGGCTAATCTAAAAAATCAAAATACACATTAAAAACATTTTCCCAAAAATGGTTTCTGTCATTTAAAGTAGTTCCTATCACACTGTTGTGTGTTTTTTTCTGATAAGTTTGGCTTTAAGTAGTCATTTAATGTCATGAAAAGGGGATTTGACATCATGATTGACAGCTGTGTGTGCCAATCCGTGTGCTCATGATCAATAACTCTGCTCACGATTGTTTGGCCAAGAACTTGATACTGTGGAGATCGCTGCTGCGCTGACTATGGCTCCAAATGACTTCACCAGCGCAAGATGGCAGCAGCGGTATCCAGGATATTTTGGCTTCATTTTTGTACAGTCGGGGGTAAGTGGAGACGTGTTGTCTAGCCATTGTACATTTTCTTTAGGTTAACCCAGATGTTAGCTTTGTCCTGGTTCCCTCAACATAAAGCCTATGGGACTGTTCAGTTGGTTTTTCATTAATAGCAGAAAATGAGGACCATTTTTATGTTGATTTTTTTAGGCATAAATGCAATCTGCAGAAGTAAAAGCTAACGTTAGGCTACAAAAGAAGTAGGCTACACCATGACCTCACAACTTCACCGTCACCACCACAATGAGCCTATAAAGCCGTGCTCGGCGTGATGATTATCTTTATCCTCATTCAGCTACTTGCTACCAACTGTTTTTGGCATGTAAACCACCTTTTAAGAGCTTATTTTAGGCATCTAACCAAAAAAACCATTGACTTTGTGACAAACCGGAAGTGCAAACAAGCTAACTCCTTTCTTTTAGGCCTGCAGCAGTAAATGCAATTTGGACAAAAAAAAAAAAGACCATGTCATGCAACTCAAATTTGACTTCCACACTGTACTGAAATCAGCTGGAGTCAACAGCTGCCTGAAGGCAAGAAAAACACAACTGCTTCAGAAAGTAACTATTATTAATGTACCTCTATCTTTTATATCTTTCATGCCCTTCCTTTCACATGTTCTGTTTTCATTCTTTCATGTTTTCTTTCTCTACTTCTTTAAATCTAATTTATCGCTGCCTTACGCTCACTAGCTCTGATGTGAGCAACGGACTGAGAGGTTTGTTTCACACATTGATGTGCACTGTTGTGGTTGTCGCTGCTCACATTGGGAGAGTGCCCCCTCTCTACCACTGAACTGTAGTGCAGTCTGACCCTGACGTTTCTCCTTTTCACCTTACACCCCCCCTCCCACACAGTGACTGGCTTCAGCATGATCAAGCCCTCTTTTTGTCAAGACTCACTGGGAGTGACTCACTGTCACACATATTAAACCTCTATTCATCCCTCAGTTAATATTCAAGACACAGTTTTATGATCATAAGTCATCTGATAAAAGTGTTTATCCTCACCCATCCTACTTCAGAAATAGGTTTGTCAACGGCACTAACTGGTGTGCTACAGTTTAGAATTGTCCTTTTGCTTTTCCTGTTAACATCTCCTACTTTGTAATTTGTACTGATCCCCTCACTGTGAAGCTTCATCTCTTGGTCACTCATAGCTCTGGTAATATTGATCTCATTCTCTGTTATTACAGTGCTTTGCCCAACTTAAGACCAGAGGGACTGTGCCCCACACCCTGCAGAGGCTTCAGATAGTTTAACAACAAGAAGATGAAGAGGACGCATTGTATTTTTCATTTTCTTTTTTGCAGACATGAAGTAAACTTAATTTATTCCTGCATGTTTTTACCTCAAGATGTGGTTTTTTTTTTGGTTCTTTTCTTCATTTAGTTGTATATATTTTGTGTTGGACATTGTGATTTTGCAAACCTTGTGTGTTCCTGTGAATTTTGACTCCTTTTCAGTGTTTTTTTTTGTTTGTTTTCTTGCACTGTGAAAGAGTTTCTTAAAAAATATAAATTGTACAAGAAAAGTACCCAGGTAGATGAATACCAGCGTTGAGGCTGCACTGTTTGGAAACTGAGCTATAAGTGAGCGCAAAAGCAGAGTGCAAAGGGCTTTGTATTTATCTGAAGAGCTGAACTAGCAACGAACAAATGCACCAAGCACGTTGAAGTTGCAGTAATAGAGAATTATGAAAAGAGCTTTGATGCATCAAAACTGTAAAGTATAAACAGTAAATAAGAGTATTTTGTTTGACGATCCCCAAGAGGAAATTAATAAGTATTACAGCAGCACATGAGACAGATCAGAGAGAGAGGAAGAAACAGGATACATAGAGCATAATGTAATATTAACAAATAAATGAGTTAGTTACCTTAAACCGGTATAATGTAAAACCATCATATAATTCAACACGTTGCAGCAAATGTGTGTCACCTGCTTTCATCTCAGCAGAACACCACATGTATTATCATTATTATTATTGGATGGAAGATAAAGTGTTGATGTAGTCTGGACTGAAATGAACTAATTAACTAACTATGCATTTAAGTGAGTACTGAATTGTGACCCATGCACTGTCTGTACTTTGGTGACGCTGACTGGAACTCTGAATCAGAGGCTGGAGCGTCGACGTGCCTGCTGTGCACAGGGCAGCTTGTTATTCTGTATGTATTCTCGTGTATTTACAGACTGCCTTTGCCTTTGCCTGAACTTTTGTACATGATAAATTACTTATTTTCAATGAATGTCAAATTGCTGGACTACTTACAGAACCTGCTTCATTGTTAATTTATTTTGTAAATCTTTTGTTTCAAATATATTGATAAAATTGCACCCTCTTTGTCTCACTGTGTTTTATTCATTTAATAATATACAAGCGAACAATAAACACAATAATGAAGAATCAGAGCAAATACGTAACATAAAGTGCAAAATAAGAAGTGAAGTGGCTGAAAAAAAATAAAGCCTGTTTATATAGATAAATAAATCTGAAAATAGTAATAAAATATATACCTTAATTTCCAGGTGCATAGGCATGGCCGTAGCCAGCTATGAGGTCACTGAGGTAGGTAAAAATTTCAAAGAGAAAAAAATAGAAGAAGCCCCAAACAGCATGATAATTTTTTTTTTAAATCTTTATCAACAAACATAAAAGTGCAATGACAACCACCAGGGGGTTACATACATTATGAGGCAACATTCCAGAATATCGTATTACATAAATACATTAAAAAGAGCACATAAATCAAAAGTCTTAATGGCTTTCATGTCAGTAGAATGTCTGATAGTTTTAATATATTGTTTGACCTCATTTACAAAGATGGAAAGGAGTGGTTTTTGGTTGGTGTATTGACATTAATGGATATGCCATTTGGCTAATAGTATAATAAGGTTAATGATATAAAATTGTTTTGTTGTTTTTTTTGCAGATGGATAGTCAATGAAGCCAAAGCAAAAAGAAAAATGTGGTTCTATATAAGTAGAACTCAATTTACAAATATCTTCCCGTAATTTGGTCAAGAAAGGGCAAGACCAAAATAAATGAAAAACATCTTCAGAGTCTCCTTCACAGAAAGAGCAATTGACACCTATATCTTTTTTGAATCATTGTAAGAAAACTTTAGATGGGTAACATCTGTGAATTATTTTAAAAGATACTTCTTTTAGTTTATTATTTATCATATATCTAGCAGGTAAGTTCCAAATCTTTTTCCAGTCAAGGTTACTGACAAAGTTGTTCCAATAAGCTACCACATATGGAATTGACACCTCTTTCTGAAATAATGAACATATACGACGATTACTATTGTGTGTTGAAGAGAAACAAATTTGACCAATTTCAGGTTTGGTTGGATCAATGGATAATACTGTTGGATTCTGTCCTGCTGTACTTTTAAATGACATAATTACTCCAGCAGGGATTGCACTTATAACAACATTAAATTCACTAATAGGGATTACGATACTATATTTTAACATAAATTCTTGATATGTCATTAATGATCCATTTGAATTAAACAACTGACGAACCAAAGTAAACAATATGGGTAAAATAAGGATTTGTTTCTATGATGTCTTTATTGTTCCATATGTATCTATGTGGGGAAAAATTATGTTTATAAATCAATGACCAAGAAAGAAGCATCTGTTTATGAAAGTTGGATAGTTTTGAGGGGACTTTTTCAACATTATAATTACAAAATAAGAGGAAATTGTGGCCTCCTAATTTAGAGAAAATAAAATTTGGTATGAAGTTCCAAATTGAAGATGGGGTCTTGATGAATTGTTTTAGCCAATTTATTTTGAATGTATTGTTTAAAAAGTCTAAAAAGTTAAGGCCACCCTTATCGTATCTTGCCTGCAGTTGGGTACTCTTGTGCGTGATAGAGATAAGAGAAAATGAAAGTTGAATTTTACATCGTTTACCAGAGCTGTGGCGCCATTACAGAGTGTAAGATCTCGGCTGGAAAACACACATTTGGAGTATTGAAGGAGTCAAAGGAAGGACAGTATAACTTGGTGAGTCTTGCTTTTAAAAGACAATTCAGATACCAAGACAAATGGCTGAGAAAATCACACTCTTTGAAAGTTTCCTGAACTGCCATGTGTGTTCAGAGACTTTAAGAGATCCTGTGTCTCTGAGCCGCAACCACAGATTCTGTTCAAGCTGCCTGCAAAAAATCTGGGAACAAGCAAAAAACAAAAACTGTCCCATCTGTAAGAGAAAATCCTCAAAAGATAACCTGACAGTGGACTTTGCACTGAAGGAACTGGCTGACTCCTTTGCTGGGAGACAGAAAGCTGGATCATGTGAGACAGTGAAAGGAGACAGGAAGGTGGAGGTGGTGTGTAGTAAACATCAAGAAGAGCCTAAATTGTTCTGTAAGGATGAAGATAGAGTTGTGTGTACTGTCTGTGAGTTTTCTCTCCACCACAGTCACAAGGTGGTTCCTGTTGAACAAGCAGTCAGTGACCTGAAGGACCAGCTGAGATCTGACTTAAAGTCTCTGCAGGACAAGAGGGACAAACATGAGAAAGTGAAGAATACATACGAAGATGATGGAGGAGGTCCACTTCAGTCCTGTCATTCTGGACCCAAACACTGCTTTCCTCTGGCTCCATCTGTCTGATGATCTGACCAGTGTGAGAAATGACACAAAGCAGCAGCTTCCTGACAATCCAGAGAGACACACTAGATATACCATGGTTCTGGGCTCTGAGGGCTTCAGTTCAGGGAAACACAGCTGGGAGGTGGAGGTGGGAGACCATCCTAACTGGCGTTTGGGTGTGGCCAAAGAGTCAGTTGACAGGAAGGGAGAGCTGTTTGTGACACCATAATATGGAATCTGGTGTATTTTTCATAATGATGGAAAGTACTATAATGGTCTCGTTTAGACTGTCTCAGTGAAGAAGAGTCTCCAGATGATCAGAGTCCAGCTGGACTATGACAGGGGGGAGGTGTCCTTCTTCAACCCTGAAGACAACGCTCTCATCTTCACTCACAGTGACACTTTCACTGAGAAACTCCTCCCATTTTTCAGTGTTGGAAAATCTGGTGATGCCAAAACTGCTACTGTTAAAATCTGTCAAAGTGATGTTTCTCTGTGATGTTCAGGAATGTTAGTGAAGACTTTACTGTGACTTCACTGTGTGTAATAATGTACTCATTACTCAGTCTGCATTACATCATCAGGTTATAAACTTTCATACAGGTACAAGTCAATTTAAGTTTAAAATGATAGCTTATTAGCCTGGTTATCTTGTTTTAATAAGACCACAATATAACACCTAGACCTGATTCTTTGTTTGCAGTTGTGTAATTCTGTAACTTTTATCATTGTCAAACATTAATTTTAGTTTGTAAGATTTCTGGATCTTTTAATGAGTTTTATCAGTTTTGTTAATGTTTTAATTTCAGTGTTTTACACTTTACACCTGAAGTCACAGCGGTTCAGTGGCTCTGATTGATCGTTTGTGATTTTGTTCTTCAGCAGTCAATTTGTTGTCAAGAACTGTCTGAAACTAATTATGCAAAGCGTTTTTTTTTATCTTGTTTTATTGTTTTCATGGAAACTTGCTGCAAAAATGTTTGCTCCTAAATCATTGTTTAGAGCTGAAAATCCTTTGAAAGATCACGACCCATTAAATATTTGGTTATATTTTGTTGAGCCAACACATATAAAGATGGTAACTCCTACTTTTGATATTCTGCTGACTTGTTAATGGATCAACTGAATATTTGCTCACATTGTTTTGTGAACACAAAATGCTGAAACTGAATCACATTATCAGGAGAAGAATAAAATTGTGAATTATCCTGGCCATGTGACTTTACAATTTATGCAAATGACAAAGAATACAAATTCTAAAACAACAAATTCCTTCAAAGAATAGAAAATACTTTGTTTACTTTTTGAATGCAAAAGGCAGAAAGTTGTCTTTAGTTTGAATGTGCAAAATTTGCTATCAAAGACTTGTTAACACACATTATATCAAATGGAACATCAAACTGCTGTCAGTTAAAACCCTGGTGAGGATGACGAGTGTGCAGATGAGCTTCCCTGAGACAGTTTCTGACAGTTCGTGCAGAAATACTTTGGTTGTACAAACTAATTGTTGCATCAGCTGCTCTGATGACTGGTCAGAGCATGACTAGATGACTAGACAGCCTCATTAAGGGCCGCTGAGGGTTGTAGCTATGGGTGTCTGAAATGATTTAATAAGCATTTCTAAGAAGGCAACATTGTTGAAGAAGTGTTTTCACTGTAAAAATGTATTTATGTTGAAACCTACTGAATGTAGTTTTTAGGGACAACATGCTCACGTCTGCATAATGTCATCCACATCATTGAATGTACAGTACACAGTATGAGACTGCATGGACAGATTTAGCTTTGTGTAAACAGGAATTGATGAGACAAAGTCCACCTTTTGTTCACAGTCTGCTCATTTTGAACACTGAACATTGGATTTCTGTCACTTATTTTAAGACACACCCTTGTCAATACACTTCCATCACTGCTGTGGCTCCTGATGATATTGTTGCTTCATCAGGCACCAGTTTAGTCAAATCATCTCAAAGACATTATTCGCACTGAATTATATCTCTAACATGAGTCTTTTCAGCTCTTAACAGGCCGACATTTATTTTGTGCTGCTGTACCATCATCATCATCAAAACTCAGTTGTACCAGATACAGAATAACACTTAATTGAAACAGGTTTCATTGTGTGCAACTTTAATTCATACTCTTTCCTTCTCTGCTGGTGTTGGAGAAAAACAACTGCTCAGTAAAATACATAACACAAGTACCTACAGGGCAACATAAGTATCTGTATTAGTGCAGTTTATCTGTCCTCACACCAAACACTTGACACCACAAACATCTCACTGTTAGGTTGTAATGCAAGTCAGTGACATCATCATGACCGACACCAGCAACAGTGTGAGCACATCACTGGAGTTGTACTGAATAACTCTGTCACACCTCCATCTGCTGGACAGAAAATGACATGGCAGCATTTCCTGCTGTTAATAATTCACCTCCTGATAGAAGCAAAAATGAAAGTAGAATTTGAATTTGGGGAATATAGCTGCAGTGCCATTACAGGGTGTGAGATCTCTGCTAGAAAACACACATTTGGAGTACTGAAGGAGTCAAAGGAAGGATCAGTATAACTTGGTGAGTCTTGCTTTTAAAAGACAATTCAGATACCAAGACAAATGGCTGAGAAAATCACACTCTTAGAGAGTTTCCTGAACTGCCATGTGTGTTCAGAGACTTTCAGAGATCCCGTGTCTCTGAGCTGCAACCACAGATTCTGTTCAAGCTGCCTGCAAAAATTCTGGGAACAAGCTAACAACAAAAACTGTCCCATCTGTAAGAGAAAATCCTCAAGAGATAACCTGACAGTGGACTTTGCACTGAAGGAACTGGCTGACTCCTTTGCTGGGAGACAGAAAGCTGGATCATGTGAGACAGAGAAAGGAGACAGGAAGGTGGAGGTGGTGTGTAGTAAACATCAAGAAGAGCCTAAATTGTTCTGTAAGGATGAAGATAGAGTTGTGTGTACTGTCTGTGAGTTTTCTCTCCACCACAGTCACAAGGTGGTTCCTGTTGAACAAGCAGTCAGTGACCTGAAGGACCAGCTGAGATCTGACTTAAAGTCTCTGCAGGACAAGAGGGACAAACATGAGAAAATGAAGAATACATACGATGAGGTGATTCAACACTCCAAGAAACAGGTGTTGTCCACAGAGAGGCAGATCAGAGCAGAGTTCAACAAGCTCCACCAGTTCCTGAAAGAGGAAGAGGAGTCCAGACTGGCTGCTCTGAGGGAGGAAGAGGAGCAGAAGGCGAAGACTATCAAGAGAGAGATGAAGATGATTCAGCAGCAGATCTCCTCTCTGTCAGACTGCATCTCTGCTGTTGAAGGAGAGCTGCAGAAACACAACATGTCATTCCTCAGCAGTTATAAAGCCACTCAGAGCAGAGCCAGAGTCCAGAGCTCACTGTCAGATCCACAGCTGGTCTCAGGAGCGCTGGTAGATGTGGCCAAACACCTGGGCAACCTGTCCTTCAGAGTCTGGGAGAAGATGAAGGAGGAGGTCCACTTCAGTCCTGTCATTCTGGACCCAAACACTGCTGCCCGCTGGCTCCATCTGTCTGATGATCTGACCAGTGTGAGAAATGACACAAAGCAGCAGCTTCCTGACAATCCAGAGAGACACACTAGATATACCATGGTTCTGGGCTCTGAGGGCTTCAGTTCAGGGAAACACAGCTGGGAGGTGGAGGTGGGAGACCATCCTAACTGGCGTTTGGGTGTGGCCAAAGAGTCAGTTGACAGGAAGGGAAAGCTGCTTGTGACACCAAAATATGGAATCTGGTGTATTATGCATAATGATGGAAAGTACAATAATGGTCTCGCTAAGACTGTCACAGTGAAGAAGAGTCTCCAGAAGATCAGAGTCCAGCTGGACTATGACAGGGGGGAGGTGTCCTTCTTCAACCCTGAAGACAACGCTCTCATCTACACTCACAGCGACACTTTCACTGAGAAACTCCTCCCATTTTTCAGTGTTGGAAAATCTGGTGATGCCAAAACTGCTACTGTTAAAATCTGTCAAAGTGATGTTTCTCTGTGATGTTCAGGAATGTTAGTGAAGACTTTACTGTGACTTCACTGTGTGTAATAATGTACTCAATACTCAGTCTGCATTACATCATCAGGTTATAAACTTTCATACAGGTACAAGTCAATTTAAGTTTAAAATGATAGCTTATTAGCCTGGTTATCTTGTTTTAATAAGACCACAATATAACACCTAGACCTGATTCTTTGTTTGCAGTTGTGTAATTCTGTAACTTTTATCATTGTCAAACATTAATTTTAGTTTGTAAGATTTCTGGATCTTTTAATGAGTTTTATCAGTTTTGTTAATGTTTTAATTTCAGTGTTTTACACTTTACACCTGAAGTCTCAGTGGTTCAGTGGCTCTGACTGATCGTTTGTGATTTTGTTCTTCAGCAGTCAATTTGTTGTCAAGAACTGTCTGAAACTAATTATGCAAAGTGTTTTTTTATCTTGTTTTATTGTTTTCATGGAAACTTGCTGCAAAAATGTTTGCACCTAAATCATTGTTTAGAGCTGAAAATCCTTTGAAAGATCACGACCCATTAAATATTTGGTTATATTTTGTTGAGCCAACACATATAAAGATGGTAACTCCTACTTTTGATATTCTGCTGACTTGTTAATGGATCAACTGAATATTTGCTCACATTGTTTTGTGAACACAAAATGATGAAACTGAATCACATTATCAGGTGAATTATCCTGGTTATCAGCATCTAGTGTTTAGTAAAAACACATTGTATGGTAGTATCAATGACCAGTGTACCTGTCAGTGTGAAACTGAATCGGCAGTAGTTTTTTTTTTTTCTCAGAATTTTTTGTGTGAGGTTGTTTCTGGTTTCTTTACGTACATCTGTCAATTTAGGTAAATCACAAAGAATATATTAAACAATCCATCACTGGGTAAATCTCCATCTTTTTTATATTTAAAACAACAAATTCTTTAGAAGAATAGAAAATACTTTCAAAAGGCAGAAAGTTGTCTTTAGTTTGAATGTGCAAAGTTTGCTATCAAAGACTTGTTAACACACATTATATCACATGGAACAACAAACTGCTGTCAGTTAAAACCCTGCTGAGGATGACGAGTGTGCAGATGAGCTTCCCTGAGACGGTTTCTGATTGTTTGTGCAGAAATTCTTTGGTTGTGCAAACTAATTGTTGCATCAGCTGCTCTGATGACTGGTCTAAAGCAATCTTGTAGGTAATGAAGCTGGATGTGGAGGTCCTGGACTCGTGTGGTAAAATGTGGTCAGCGGTTGTGTTGCTGGTTGGATGCAGTGCCAACATTCCTGCAGTCAGCATGCCAGTGAGACACTCCCTAAAAACTTGTGACATCTGTGGCACTGTGTTGTGTGATCAAACTGCACATTTTAGAGCGTCTTTACATTGTGACCATCCCAAGGCACAGCTGTGTAGTAATGATGCTGTTTAATCACCATCTTGATATGCCAAACCTGTCTGGTGGATGTATTATCTTGGAAAAGAAGAAGTGCTTACTAACATGGATTTTTAAGAAATTTGCAACCAAAATTTGACAGAATTAAGTATTTTGTGAGATTAAAAAAGTCTTAGATCTTGAACTTAAACCTGTGAAACATGGGAACATATTTCTATTCAGTGTAAATAAATAAATAAGAGAAAAGAAAAGAAAGAAAGGATTCCAAATATTTTATCATGTTATATGCTAACAGTAGGAGGCACCAACTAAATTTCAATTCAGATGTATTCAGTAATAAATACTGAGGAGAATTCTCAGACAAAATCAAGCTGTTTGTCTGTGAATACAATAAGGTGAGACACATATTATTATCCAGTTTTTATATCAATGATCTGCAAACAGCAGTTAAGCTATGCTGCATTTGTTTGCTCATGTTTGGAAGTGGCACTTTAATGTGTTATTTGGCTGTGAGGTGTTTGTGTATTCAGAAAGTGAAATGTGGGATCACTGAACATCTGGAGACATAGGCGGGCAGCTCTCTCATTGCAGGCAGAGGTCACTGAAACTCTCCAGTGAGGACAAGTCTTACAGAAAAGATCTGAAACATAAACAAAGATTAAATTCATAACAGTATTTCTTTATTATGTAAGTCTCTGCCACGTGTCAGCTGCACCTCGTCCAGCTCACTGAGGAGATCCAGATGTAGTGTTGTGAAAGAACCCCCAAAACATCCAACCTCTGGCCTGAAGGAGCCCTCAGAAGAACAAAAAACACAACAGACCCACAGTTCAGTTATAGCAACTATAAAAACTGTTTGTAGCTTACAGCATGTTGCTCTTAAGGCACAGACAGATGCAGATAACTGATCAAGATATGAATGATTCAAATTCTGTTTATGTAATAGACGTGACACCACACACACACACACAAACACACAGGCAGACAAGACTCTGCTGTAATTTATAGGTAACCCACAAACATATGGAGCCTGAGTCACGCTTGTCTGAATGCTGTTCAACTCTGCATAATCCTGCTCACCATCCATCTCCCCTCAGCGTTTCAAAAGCAACACAAACGTCTGTTAAACATCTGTAAAACATTTGTTCTCTCTCAGATAAGATTTCCTCATTCAACTCTGTGCTGCCACCCCGGGCGTGTAAAACACAGCAGCCTGTGTCCGGCCAGCGCTCAGAACAGCGAGGAGCTTTTTTGTGCTGCTGCACCAAAACAGTTTCTTTACAGTGGATTTGAAGTATTTTTCCAAGTATCATGGATGCTCGAGGGGTCTGGTTGATGTTTTGCCTTCTCCTGCTGGCACGCTGCACATTCCAGCAGACCGCCTCCTCAAAGAAAAGAAATGGTAAGAAAGGTAGGAGACTAACTTGACACTCTATAAATAGCTTTTACAGAATAACAACACTGAAGTACCATGTGAGAGTTTATAAGTAATACAGACTGCTTCAGAATATATTTTTGCTTCTTTTTTTTGCTCCTTCAACAGACTCTGCAAACAGTGCTGCAATTGAGGAGCTGAAGAAACAGATTGCTGACATTGTTCAAGAGCTGAATTTGCTGAAGGAGCAGCAAGCTTTGCAGACAGGTAGGCCTATTTGTCCTGCAAAATGTGTGTCATAAATACTACTCAATTAATTTTTTTGAAAAAGAATGCATAGCTCAGTTTATGGATCACAATAAAAGAAATGTCCCACAGCCTATAACCCCCTGAAGTATATTTCAAATAGGCTTTAACAGCTTTCCAGTGATGGAGAGCCCAAACAGTGACACCTGAACCACACTGAATTCCTCCTAATCCCCCCCTCAGTTTGTCTACGAGGCACCAAGATCCTTGGTAAGTGTTTCCTGGCTGATCCTGTGAAGAAGACCTTCCACGCAGCCAGCGATGACTGCATCGCCAAGGGGGGCAGTCTGAGCACTCCCCTGACAGGCGATGAGAACGACCAGCTCTACAGCTACGTACGTCAGAGCATCGGCCCTGAGGAGCACATCTGGCTGGGCATCAATGACATGGTGACAGACGGCCAGTGGGTGGACCAATCAGGCTCCAACGTGCGCTTCAAGAACTGGGAGACAGAGATCACCCTGCAGCCAGACGGAGGGCGCAGCCAGAACTGTGCCATCCTCTCCACCACAGCCATCGGGAAGTGGTTTGACGAGAGCTGCCGAGCCGAAAAGGCTTCTGTGTGCGAGTTCAACATCGTGTGAGTGTCTGACATTCACATCACTCTGCACAGATGAATACTTCTGAACTTGGGCATGAAACATGTAGAGTATCAGGTACATTTATGCAATGCATTGGAAAATAACGTGCTGCATTTTCTCTTCAGCTCTCATTTTCTTGACCAAGCCATTCAGATGCAGTGCATTGACTTCACACAGTGGTCTGGGATACAGTATGTCATTGTATAAGCTAAACTTTTGCTCACTAAACTTGTGATCTCAAACATTTCAGCATATCTTATAGCATATTACATGAAGGTAAACACCACTGGATGGCTTGTCTTTGTTATATGCATTTTATGTCATCTGCTTATCAATGCAATAAAACAATTTTTTTTACTGAAGAGCATAAATCACAAGCGCCTTTTCTGAGGCACTGTCTTTACTTCTGATGTCAAGGTATGCTGCCTGTATTACATTATATAATGTTAATAAACATATGTCTCCTCAGCTGTAATCTTGTTATTGTTGTCTTGCTCACAGATTCAGTAGATGTGATGGAAGTCTTGTGCTCATTAGATGAAAGAAATCCTTATGTAGCAAGTCATAAAAAAAGAACTAGGCTGCTGCAGCTAATAATAATAATAATCAAGGGTGTAGGTTTTGTTCCAACATGGGAGGGGGGACATGTATGAAACGGTGGGTTTGGGAATCCTCTGCTAAAAAATTCTGAGCTTCAAACATCTATTTTCCTCCATTCTGGTGAATTTTTATGCAATCTTTTTTTATTTGCATAATTTCATGGTGTAAATGTCTTTAATTCTATCAAAATAAAAGTCCTCTGCTACTTTAACAAATGCACGTTCTAAATCCTGAGGGGGACGTGTCCCCTTCATCCCCATCAAAATCTACACCCATGATAATAGCCACAAAACAGACTTCCCTGGTGTTAGGTTGCTGTTTTTTCCTAGTTCTTTTCGCAGAGACAGTGTGGGGTAAAAGTTCACAAGGTGCCAAAGTTTTCCTTTCAAAATAAGACTCAATAATACTGGACCAAGGAAATGGTAAACTTAAAACAGAAAGGCCAGGACTAAGATAGCCTGTACAATGAGAATGGCATTTTTTCCTTTCTCAAGTGTCACTACTTTACATACTCCACAGACTAAGTCATGAAATATACATCACAGGCAGTAAGGGGCATGCAAAGGATGAAATGGCAAGGGTGAACAATTCTTTCACTAAAAACACAAAACATTTTTGAATTTCCAAGGAACGTACAATCGAACCTTCCCGAGGCTTCCTGGTCCTACTTTTCTAAAAACATCTGTGTGGGAGAGTCCCTGTTTCATGAGTCAAATAACTTGTTGTGTCTCCACCCTACCCACACATTTTCCATCAAGAAAATCCAGTTTCTGTGTTGGCACTCTTAATAGTTTACTCACTCAAACAAGGGTTACATCAGATCAACATGTTTGGACGTCTCCATGGACATCCACTGATGTCAGCAGCAGGGCATTTGTAGAGAACATGTCCTCATCTCAGTCTCTCTAACACTCAGTGTCAGTCACTGTGAAGTATTCATGCTCATAGTTTACATGGCTGTAAACAAAAGTAACTTCACATTCAGAGAGTTCTGGCATTGTTTTACAGCACGCACTTTAGTTCCTCAGAAGTGAGAAAGGATTTATTGAAACTTTGACTTTGCTTCCCTCTGCCGTTCATTTACTGAACTGCAGGAGGCGACATGGCTTTACAAGATAAACAACAGGATTTATTCAGTCTTTTCACACATTTGATTATAAAACTTAAATCCCAATTTTACTCAGATGAGATAAGTTAATATTCTGTGACCTTCTTGTTCAACCTAATATTGAGATCAATAACCTACATAACGATTCTAATATACTGTTATTGTTTTCTATTCCAGTTAATGTAAAACAGAACAAATCACCTGCACTTGACTGTAACTTAGTTAAGACTTGGTTTGTATCGTGACCTTTCAACACACGAGCACTCATCACACTTACATTAAATTATATGACTCACACAGTATCTCTTTTAAAAGCTATCTGATATTAATAACACAATTCATTTAACTAACAATGATACTGAAATTGCTTTGCGAGTAACTTTCTGCTGACTGACAGAAATTAAGTGTATACAAGGATTGTAGCTTCAGGTCAGAAAGGGTCCGTGGTTTTCAAAAAAAATTAAAATCAAAATCTGGGCTTTCACTCCTGATTCTCATTTCTAATGAAACATTAGTAGAAAACTAAAAAGCCCCTGAACGACCAGAGAAACACATCACTCAGCTAGCAGCACATCAGTCTTGAGATTCCCAAAAGTGTGGGTCCAAAAAGGAACAAAAGCAACAACTCAAAGATCCTAAAATGTATTAACAGGAGTGTATTACCCTCTCTGTATGGCATGTTTATGGTGTAATGGCACTGTATCCTGAAGTCTCCATAGCAGGTGATAAACAATAGAAACATATTTCTCCCCGCACATACACTGCTTCTGCAATCTGCTGCAATACAGACCATCATCAGCCCATCATGTTTTGATAATGCTATAAAAGCGCAGTGTATTTCAACAGCAATGGAGTCCTCTCTTTTCTCCAGTTTATGTTAAAAAAAGAGAAAACCTCAACACGTAAACAGCACACACGTTTGCTCCTGTTAAAACAATCACGATATGTATAAAATCTCTCCAAATGAAGAATATTCTCGGCCTTAATGTAACACAAGATCTTTTCATTGTGGCAAAACCGGCATAAAGACGATGGTTATGTACTGTCTTCATCTGAGATAAAACAAGATAACAGCTGCAGGCAGGTTTTAGCAGGGTTGTTTTGTGTTCCTGGCTTTGGTGCAAAACTACTCTCAAGAGAAAAAAGCTTTCTTGCAAGGCAGGTAATCACAAAAATGCCAGGGAATGAATATCTCAAAGTTCAAGTAGGTCGAGAGAAAAGCAAAAAGCTGAATCCAATCTTCTCCTCAGTTTCCTCCCTCTGGCTCCAGCCGGGGCCCCAGATTCGGAGAGTCTTCCTCTTCACTTTGGTCCCCAGTCTGGTAAATCACATTGTCCACCAGGGATTGGACGTGACTCGGGGGCCTGACGGGAAGCGGAGGACCCTGAAACTGCTGGTAAGACCCGACTGGCATGTCGTCTTCATCTGTGTTTTTAGAGATCAGTGGTTTTTGTGAGTCTTTGTGCCCTGAGACGGGTTGGCATCTGTCAAACTCCCCATAGACGCCCATCTCTGCCCCCTTTCTCAGCAGGTCTGTGTAGACCAGCGTGTCCTCAATGGACTCGTACACATGGTACTCGTCCTCATCTGTTTTTGGGAAGCCGTTTTGTCCTGGCAGGAAGCTGATGCCATTTGGATTGTAGATGGACACTTCATGATTTAGCTTCTTCTTCTTCTTCCTGTTTGGCAGGAGAGACATGACGATGACAACTTGAGTTAAATACAGCATCAAACTTTTACATTATAACTACAAAAAATTTAAATGAAGGAGGAAATCTCTAGTAGATTGAGGCAGACATGACATTTTTTGAGAGACTACTTCTTTACTTACTGAATAACTTGTTTTTTTCCCCACAAATGCTCTATTTGAAAAGACAAAAATACCTGCCCATAAAGTACACACATAAAATCTAAAGAGTAAAACATAACGCAGATGCACTCACCTAATCACCACACAGACCGCTACCAGCACGATGACAAAAATGACCAGCAGAGCGGCCACCACACTCAGGATGATAGTCAGCAGAAGGTCTGAATGAGAGAAAACAACAATAGATACAACCTTTAATTAACAATCTCTATCACAGTGATTCCCAACTGGGGGGTCATGGTCCAAAAGTGGGTCCCGAGTTCATTCTGAATAGGCCGCAAGTGATCTGCATGTCAAATTTGTAAAAAAAAATCAAAAAAAACAACAACTTTATTTTGAAGTACAGTCAATTTCCAGCACAGAGCTTTTATTTTGGAGTGCTGTTTCCTGTTGTAGAGTGAGTGATTCATGCACAGCTATTTGAGGACATGGCAAACCACAAGTATGACACTGAATATATTCAACGGAGTGGGACTTAAACTAATGACGAAGGAAAAATCTGGACCCTGTGGCTGGACCTGTTGGGAATCACTAGGGCTGTAATCAACCAAAGAAAATCTTGGTCACCTTAAGTCGTATATAATCTTCAACTAATTGATTAGTTGTGGGGGGGGGGGAAACAATCTGCACATTATTTTTACTTCTGCGGTGGTGTGTCTGTGTCACTCTGCAGTTACACCTCCAAAATGCTAGTTGGCGGTGGAGGACTGTGTTAAGTGCTGTAAAGTTTAGTTGATTCAAAACACACATTAAATATGGCTTAATAGAGACAAATTCAAACACAAGAACACAAATCAGCTTCACTATAACTCGCAGCATTGACAGACAAACACTTGTCTTTATCTGGACACATTTCCCCAGAGATATCGGATGAAGCGAGATACCCAACTCAGCTCACTTCCTGATTCAGTGACGTCAGCGCCACGCCCCCGTAGGACACTTGCGGCAGCTCTGAATGTATTGTCGTCAATGAGGAAAATGAACGTGATCACAATTTATGGTCAATTCTTTCTCCCTGTAGTCACTAAAGTAAATATTGGGTTCATGAGGGAGAACAGGCTCTGATTGGAGGGAGAGCTAACCACGCCCACTTAGGAGACAGGAAGAGTAACCGTTTTCTTAACATTGGATAAGCTTACAGTTGGGTATCTCCCTTCATCCAGTATCTCTGATTTCCCCCACCAATAAAACATGCTAACGTTATTAGCACAAGTCTTACAGTCGCGTTTTACATTGTATAAATTAGCCTATAGCATCTAGCGATAATTCCTTTGTCTCATATAAAGTCAGGGACAACAGCAACATGTAACAAAAGTAACGGCACATAATTTGGCTCCATTACAACTCACACCATTCACCACAACCATCACACTAAACACGTTTTCCAAACAAATACAACATGCTAACGTTATTAGCGCCAGCCTATGGCATTTTACATTGTATAAATTAGCCTAGCTACGAGCAGAGATTTCCTCTGCTTAATCCTGGAAAGCTGTTGATGTTCCCAGGCTAAGATCAATGCAAAAAAAAAAAGTCAATTTAAATTAGGACATCCATCAGTTCTGAACGATCATCAGTGCTACTCAGTAGCAAACTGACTTTTTTTTGCATTAATTTCAGCCTGTGAACCTTTTTTGTGGCTGTCCAGCCCAGTTGCATTAGCGTGCGGGTATCTCCTCTGCCGTCCTGTCTTAGTTGTCCATTGCACAGACACACCCAAGATAAACTTTTTTTTGTTGCCCTAAGTTTCACAGCAGCCCTTAGACTTTGCAGGCTATAAACGAGCCTGTAAACACCACGGTTGCATAACTTCATCACCACCACAATGAGACAGTAAAAAAAAAAGCCATGTTTGGAGTACAGAGCATCTTCCTTTTTTAAGACACGTAA